ACCAAGTCCCAAAAGTCAATATTTCCCAAGATATAAAGGGTCAAAGTAGTGAAATATGGTCATCCACAGTAGTAAGACGTATGTTATAAGTGATACATTTATTCACAAAATAAATAAAAATCGATTTTTACATATATATATGTAATAAATATTTAGTTCCGCAATATATATGTATATGTATATACAGGGTGAGGCAAAAGTATCGGACCGGTGAAATATCTCGAAAAATATAAGTTTTATAAAAAACTGTTTCAGATCTTAAAAAGATCTATTGTATTTACTGATTTTAGCAGATTGATCTTGGGTGGCGTTTCCAAGGTCAAAAATCAGTTGTTTTCACGGCTACTCACAATCAGTTTTGATTTTGAGTAGCTGTGAAAACAACTGATTGTGAGTAGTCGTGAAAACAACTGATTTTGAATAGCTGTGAAAACAACTGATTGTGAATAGCCGTGAAAACAACTGATTGTGAGTAGCTGTGAAAACAACTGATTTTGAGTAGCCGTGAAAACAACTGATTGTGAGTAGCTGTGAAAACAACTGATTGTGAGTAGCCGTGAAAACAACTGATTGTGAGATCTGAAACAGTTTTTTGTAAAACTTATATTTTTCGAGATATTTCACCGCTCCAATACTTTTGCCCCACCCTGTATATACATATACATATATATTGCGGAACTAAATATTTATTACATATATATATATATATATATATATATGTAAAAATCGATTTTTATTTATTTCGTGAATAAATATCAATGTATCACTTATAACATATGTCTTACTACTGCGGATGACCATATTTCACTACTTTGAGCCTTTATATCTTGAGAAATATTGACTTTTGGGACTTGGTACAATGATAACTTTTTATCAGCATGGCGAAAATTATAACATAGTGAAATTTCAGCCAATTTGACCGAAAACTATTTTCCATAGATTTTGTGCGAGGTCCTTTGTTAGGGAAAGAATCGAATCGATTAAGGGCCTGAGCACAGACTTTTGCATAACGCATAATGCATAACACATAAGGAAATCAATCAATCAGAGTCATTTCTATCCTGGAGAGGGAAATAAAGGTCTCTGATGGTTGATTCCCTTATGCGTTATGCGTTATGCAAAAGTCTGTGCTCCCAGCCTAAGGGCTATCGCACACAAATTGACATAACTGCATATGCATAGCATAAGACCGTATGTACCAATGAGCATCGAGTATTAAGTCGCCATATTGGTGTTCGATGCTTAATATTCGATGCTCATTGGTCCATACGATTTTATGCTATGCATATGCAGTTATGTCAAATTGTGTGCGATAGCCCTAAGGGCCATACACACAAAATTACATAGACGCATATGCATAGCATAAGATCATATGGACCAATGAGCATTGAATATTAAGTCGCCATATTGATGATTGATACTTAATATTCGATGCTCATTGGTCCATACTATCTTATGCTATGCATATGCGTCTATGTAATTTTGTGTGTGATGGCCTTAAGAATCGGACATCTCTACACTGAACAGTAGAGATGCCCGATTCTTAATCGATTCGATTCTTTTC